GGGGTTTTTTTAAAAAGAAAACCCCCCAAAAAAAAAAAAAAGGAAAAAGGAAAAAAAGGCCCCAAAAAAAACCCCCCTTTTTTTGAAAAAAAACCCAAAGGAAAAAAAAATTTTTGGGGAAAAAAAACCCCCAAAAAAAAAATTTTTTAAAAAAATTTTTTTTGGGGGAAAAAAAAAACCCTTTTAAAAAACTTTTTAAAAAAAAAATTTTTAAAAAAATTTTTGGGGGTTTGGGGAAAAAAAAATTTTTTTAAAAAAATTAAAGGTTTTTTTTTGGGGGCCAAGGTTCCCCCCCCCCCAAAAAATTTTTTTAAAAAAAAACCAAACCCCAAAATTTTTAAAAAAGGGGCCCCCAAAAAAAAAAAACCCCAAAAAAAAAATTTTTTTAAAAAAAGGGGCCCCCCAAAAAACCCCCAAAAACCCCGGCCCAAAAATTTTTTTTAAAAAAAACCCCCAAAAGGGTATAAAAAAACCCCCCCAAAAAAAATTTTTTTAAAACCCAAAAAAAAAATTTTTTGGGGGAAAAAGGGGGAAAAAAAAAAAACCCCCCCCAAAAACCCTTTTCCCCTTTTAAAAAAAAATAAAAAACCCAAAAAAAAAATTTTTTTAAAAAAAAACCCCAAACCGGTTTAAAAAAACCCCCGAAAAAAATTTTAAACCCCAAAAAAAAAAAATTCCCGGGGGGTTTTAAAAAAAATTAAAAAAAAGGGGTCTTTTAAAAAATTTTTAAAAAATTTTTGGGGAAAAAATTTGGGTTTTAAAAAAAAAAACCCCCCCAAAAAAAAATTTTTTGGGGTTTAAAAAAAACCCTTTTTTTAAAAAAAACCCCAAAAAAAAAAACCCCCCCTTTTGGGGAAAATTTTTTCCCCAAAAACCCCCCCCGGGGAAAAATTTTTTTTTTAGAAAATTTTAAAAAAAAAAAACCCAAAAAAAAAACCAAAACCAATTTTTTTAAAAAAAATTAACCCCAAAGGGGGGGGAAAGCCCCCTTTTAAAACCAAAATTCAATTTTTTAAAAGTTTCCCAAAAAAATTTCAAAAAAAAAAAAGGGGGGAAAAAAAAAAAAAAAAAAATTTAAGAAAACCCGGGGCCAAAAAAAATTTTTAAAAAAATTTTTTAAAAAGGGAAAAAAAGGGGGCCAAAATGGGCCCCCCAAAAAAAACCCCCCCCTTTTTTGGGGGGGGGGCCCCCCCAAAAAAAAACCCCCAAAAAAAAAAAAATTTTTAAGGAAAAATTTTGGGGTTTTAAAAAAACCCCCAAAAAAAAAGGGGTTTTTTTAAAGGGCCCCCTTTAAAAACCCCCCGGGCCCCCCCTTTTTTTTTAAAAAAATTTTAAAAAAAATTCGGTTAAAAAAAAAAAAAAAAACCGGGGGTTTTTTTTAAAGGAAAATTTAAAAAAAAAAGGGAAAAAAATTTTTTTTAAAAAAAAAAAAATTAGGGGGGGGGGAAAAAAAAAACCCCCCGGAAAAAAAAAAAGGGGTTTTTTTAAAAAACCCGGGGAAAAAAAAAACCCCCCAAAACCCGCCCTTTTTTTTAAAAAAAGGGAATAAAAAGGGGGGAAAAAAAAAAATTTTTAAACCCCAAAAAAGGGTTTTTTGGGTTTTAAAAAGGGGTTCAAAAAAATAACCCCCCAAAAATTTAACTTTTTTTTTTAAAAAAGGAAAAAAAATTTGGGGGGCCCCCAAATTTTTTAAAAAAAATTCCCCAAAAAATTTTAAAAAACCCCGGGGGGGAAAAAAAAAAAGGGGCCCCCCAAAATTTTTTTTTTTTAAAAAAAAAAACCAAACCCCGGGTTTTAAAAAAAAAAACCCAAAAAAAGGAAAAAAAAAATTCCCCTTTGAAAAAACCCGGGAAAAAAAGGGCCCCCGGCCCCCGGCCCCCCAAAAAACCCCTTTTAAAAAGGTTTTAAAAAAAGGGGGGGGAAAATTTAAAAAAAAACCCCAAAAAAAAAAATTTTTTAAATCCCCCCCAAAAAAAAAAAACCCCCCCCCCCTTTTTTTTAAAAAAAAATTTTTAAAAAAAAAAGGGGGGGGGAAAAAAATTTTTGGGAAAAAAAAAAAAATTTTTAAAAAAAAAGGGGGGAAAAAAACCCAAAACCCGAACTTTTAAAACCCAAAAAAATTTAAAGAAAAAAACCGGGCCCCCCTTTCCAATCCCACTGCCGAAACAAGATTTCGAATTTTGCGACCTTTGGTTTACGAGCCCAAACGCTCTAGCCACTGAGCTATAGCGGCTGCAGGAATCGTTCACTTTTTTGAAAAACGAAAAAAAAACAACATGAATGGAAAAAAGTAAAAAAGGTTTCCAAAAAAAATAAACACAACACTGCCCCAACAAAATTCGAATTTGGGACCTTTGGTTTACGAGACCAACGCTTGACTGAGCCCATAGCGGTTGCAAATCGTTTTTTTTTTGAAAACGAAAAAAAAAAACATGAAGGGAAATTTAAGAAAAAGAACCCCCGAAATGAACACATCAAAAAGCCGCCAACAAGATTCGAATTTTGCGACCTTTTGGTTTATGAGACCAACGCTTAGCCACTGACCCAAAGGGCCGGGGAAATTTGTTCCTTTTTTGAAAACAAAAAAAACCCAAAATGAAGGGAAATTGGGAAAAGAAGGCTGTGAGGTTAAAAAATAAACCATACACTGCCGCCAACAAGATTCGAACTTGGCCCTTTTTGGTTTAGGGAGACCAACGCCTAGCCACTGAGCTAAAAGGGTTGAAAGGAATTTTCACTTTTTGAAAAAAAAAAAAATACAACATGAATGGAGTTTAAGAAAAAGAAGGCTGTGACGGTTCGAAAATAAACACATACACCCCCGGGAAAAGCCTTGAATTTGCGCCCTTTTGGTTTAGAGACCAACGCTCTAGCCCCCGAGTTTAAAAGGGTTGAAACGTTCTTTTTTAAAAACAAAAAAATCAAAAATGAAGGGAAATTTAAGTAAAAGAACTTAAATTCGAAAATAAACACCACCCATTGGGGCACTGCCCCCAAAACAAGTTTCGAACTTGCGCCCTTTTTGGTTTATGAGACCAACGTCTTACCCGAGTTTATAGGGTTGCGGGTATTCATTTTTTTTAAAAAACCAAAAAACCCAAACATGAAGGGAAAGGTTTAAGTAAAAGAACCCTCCGGGGGAAAATAAACACATAAACCCCCCAACAAGTTTCCGAACTTGCGACCTTTGGTTTATGAGACCAACGCTCTAGCCACTGAGTTTAAAAGGGCCCGCGGGAAATTTGTTCATTTTTTTAAAACAAAAAATTTCCAACATGAAGGGAAATTTAAGTAAAAGAAGGCTGTGACGGTTCGAAAATAAACCATACCCCGCCGCCAACAAGATTCGAACTTGGGGGCCCTTTTTGGTTTACGAGACCAACGCTCTAGCCCCCGAGCTAAAAGCGGTTGCGGGAATCGTTCACTTTTTTAAAAAACGAAAAAATCCAACAAAAATTTAAAGTTTAAGAAAAAGAAGGTTTGGGGAAAATAAACCATACACTCCCGCCAACAAGATTCGAACTTCCGACCTTTGGTTTACGAGACCAACGCCCAGCCACTGACCCATATGGTTGCGGGAACCGTTCATTTTTTTAAAAACCCAAAAAATCCAACATGAAGGGAAATTTTGGGGAAAAGAAGGTCTAAAAAATGAACAAAAAACACTGCCGAAACAAGATTCGAATTTTGGACCTTTGGTTTACGAGACCAACCTAAGCCACTGAGCTATAGGGGGCTGCGGGAATCGTTCATTTTTTGGGAAAACGAAAAAATCCAACATGAATGGATTTAAGAAAAGAAGGCCTGAAAAACACAAAACTCGCCAAAAGTTTGAACTTGCGACCTTTTTTAAAGACCAAGTCACCACTGAGCTTAGGTTTGGGAATCGTTCTTTTTTTTTAAAAACAAAAAAATCCAACATGAATATTGAAAAGAAGGCTTGAGGTTGGGAAAATAAACCATTTTGCCGCCCGTTCGAATTTGGACCGGTTTACGAGCCCAACGTTCCCCCCGATTTTAAGGCTGCGGAATTGTTCATTTTTTTAAAAAAAAAAAACCAACATGAATGGAGTTTAAGTAAAAAAAGGGTTTTTTCCAAAAAAACCATACCCCCGGCCCCCAACAAGATTCGAATTGGACCTTGGTTTAGAGCCCAAACGCCAGCCACAGCTATAGCGGTTCAGGAATGTCCTTTTTTGAAAAAAAAAATCCAAATGAAGGGATTTAAGTAAAAGAAGGCCCGAAAATGAACAAAATACACTCGCCAAAAGATTCAAATTTGGCCCTTTTTGTTTTAAAACGTCACCCACTGACCCATAGGGTGAGGAACTTTCACTTTTTTGAAAAAAAAATCCAAAGAATGGAGTTTAAGTAAAAAGGTTCCAAAAAATAACACATAACCCCGCCAAAAGTTTCGAATTGCCCCTTTTGGTTTAAGACCAACGCTCGCCACTGAGCATAGCGGGCGGGAATCTTCCTTTTTAAAACGAAAAAATCCAAATAAAATGGATTAAGTAAAAAAAGGGGCTGTGACGGTTTGAAAAAAAAACTCCCCCCCCAAAAGTTCGAATTGCGACCTTTTGGTTTAAAACCAACGTCAGCCAATGAGCTATAGCGGGCGGGGAACGTTCATTTTTTTTGAAAACAAAAAATCCAAATGAATGGAGTTTAAGAAAAGAAGGCTGGGGAGGGTTCGAAAATAAACCATACACTCCGCCAACAAGATTGAACGCATTTTTTTAAAAAACCCCAGCACTGAGCATAGCGGGCTGCGGGAATCGTTACTTTTGAAAAAAAAAACCAAATGAAGGGGATTTAAGAAAAAAGAATGTTTTCGAAAAAAACACAAAACTCCCCCAAAAGTTTCCAACTTGAACCGGGTTTAAAAACCCAACGTCTGACGGCCATAGGGCGGGAATTTCATTTTTTTTGAAAACAAAAAAATCCAACATAAATGATTTTTAAGAAAAAAGAAGGCTGTGAGGTTGAAAAAAAACATACACCCCCCAACAAGATTCGAACTTGCGCCCTTTTTGGTTTACGGGGACCAACGCCCACCCACTGAGCAAGCGGCTGCAGGAATGGGTCACTTTTTAAAAACAAAAAACCAAAAACATGAAGGGAAATTGTAAAAGAAGGTTTGGATTGAAAATAACGCCCCAAACAAACGAACTTTCGTTTTTCGAGACCAACGCTTAGCCACTGACCCATAGGGGCAGGGAACTTTTTTTGAAAAAAAAAAATTAAAACATGAAGGGAGTTTAAGTAAAAAAAGGGTTTTCCAAAAAATAAACCATCCTGCCCCAACAAGATTGAACTTGACCTTTTTTAGAGACCAACGTTGCCACGAGCATAGCGGCTCGGGAAATCTTTCCTTTTTTTGAAAAAAAAAAAATCCAAATGAATGGAGTTGAAAAAGAAGGTTTTTTGGGGAAAATAAACACAAACCCCGCCAACAAGTTTTCGAATTGCGCCCTTTTGGTTTAGAGCCCAAAGCCTAGCCACTGAGCTATAGCGGGCTGCGGAACGTTACTTTTTTGAAAACAAAAAATCAACTGAATGGATTTTAAGTAAAAAAAGGGCCCTTGAAAAATAACACAACCGCCGCCAACAAATTCGAATTCCCGGCCCTTTTTTTAGAGCCCAACGCCAGCCCGAGCTTGCGGGGCGCAGGAATCTTACTTTTTGAAAACGAAAAAATCCAACATGAATGGAGTTTAAGTAAAAGAAGGCTCCGAAAATGAACACATACACTGCCGCCAACAAGATTCGAACTTGCGACCTTTGGTTTACGAGACCAACGCTCTAGCCACTGAGCTATAGCGGCTGCAGGAATCGTTCACTTTTTGAAACCAAAAAAATCCAACATGAATGGAGTTTAAGTAAAAGAAGGCTGTGACGTTCGAAAATAAACACATACACTGCCGCCAACAAGATTCGAACTTGCGACCTTTGGTTTACGAGACCAACGCTCTAGCCACTGAGCTATAGCGGCTGCAGGAATCGTTCACTTTTGAAAACGAAAAAACCAACATGAATGGAGTTTAAGTAAAAGAAGGTCTCGAAAATGAACCATACACTGCGCCAACAAGATTCAGACTTGCGACCTTTGGTTTCGAGACCAACGCTCTAAGCCACTGAGGCTATAGCGGCTGCAGAATCGTTCCTTTTGAAAACGAAAAAAATCCAACATGAATGGATTAAAGTAAAAGAAGGCTGGACTTCGAAATAAACCATACACGCCGCCAACAAGATTCGAACTTCGACCTTTGGTTTACGAGACAACGCTCTAGCCCTGAGCTATAGCGGTGCGGAATCGTTCACTTTTTGAAAACGAAAAAAACCAACATGAATGGAGTTTAAGTAAAAGAAGGCTCTGAAAATGAACACATACACTCCCGCCAACAAGATTCGAACTTGCGACCTTTGGTTTACGAGACCAACGCTCAGCCACTGAGCTATAGCGGCTGCAGGAATCATTCACTTTTTGAAAACCAAAAAAATCCAACATGAATGGAGTTTAAGTAAAGAAGGCTGTGACGGTTCGAAAATAAACACATACACTGCCGCCAACAAGATTCGAACTTGCGACCTTTGGTTTACGAGACCAACGCTCTAGCCACTGAGCATAGCGGCTGCAGGATCGTTCACTTTTGAAAACGAAAAATACCAACATGAATGGAGTTTAAGTAAAGAGGCTCCGAAATGAAACATACACGGGCCGCCAACAAGATTCGAACTTGCGACCTTTGGTTTAAGAGACCAACGCTCTAGCCACTGGCTATAGGGGCTGCGGGGACTTTCCCTTTTTTGAAAACGAAAAAATCCAACAGAATGGTTTAAGTAAAAGAAGGCTGTGACGGTTCGAAAATAAACGCATACACTGCCGCCAACAAGATTCGAACTTGCGACCTTTGGTTTACGAGACCAACGCTCTAGCCACTGAGCTATAGCGGCTGCAGGAATCGTTCACTTTTCAAAAAAAAATCAACATGAATGGAGTTTAAGTAAAAGAAGCTCGAAAATGAACACATACCCCGCCGAACAAGATTCGAACTTCGCCCTTTTTGGTTTTTAGAGACCAACGCCCCAAGCCACTGAGCTATAGCGGCTGCAGGAATCGTTCACTTTTTTTGAAAACCAAAAAAATCCAACATGAATGGAGTTTAAGTAAAAGAAGGCTGTGACGGTTCGAAAATAAACACATACACTGCCGCCAACAAGATTCGAACTTGCGACCTTTGGTTTACGAGACCAACGCTCTAGCCACTGAGCTATAGCGGCTGCGGAATCGTTCACTTTTGAAAACGAAAAAATCCAAATGAATGGAGTTTAAGTAAAGAAGGCTGTGAGGTTCGAAAATAAACATACACTGCCAACAAGATTCGAACTTGCGACCTTTGGTTTACGAGACCAACGCTCTAGCCACTGAGCTATAGCGGCTGCAGGAATCGTTCACTTTTTTGAAAACCAAAAAAATCCAAATGAATGGAGTTTAAGTAAAGAAGGCGTGACGGTTCGAAACATACACGGGCCAC